AAAAAGCTAGCTAGAAGTAGCAATATAGCTTGTAAAAGTAGCAAAAAGCTAGCTAGAAGTAGCAAAACGCCAGGTAAAAGTACGAAAACGATTGTGTAAAAATAGAGAAAGCTAGCTAAAAGCTGCAAAATGTCGGGTAAAGTAACAAAACGCAAACTAAAAATACCAAAACATCAGGTAAAAGTAGCAAATAGCTAGCTAAAGATGGCAAAACATCAGGTAAAAGTACCAAAATATTTTATAAAAGTAGCACAAACTAGCTAAAAGTACATAACATTAGGTAGAAGATTAGCTGAAAGTTAAAAATAGCAATAAATAAATAAACAAAAGTAGCCAAATGCTAGTTTAAAAAAGCTAAAGTCTAACTAGCAGCTGAAAGTAGATCCAGTAGTTCCAGGCAAAAATAGTAAAAGTAACTAAAAGCTAAAGTAACAAAAGGGTAGCTAAAAAGTTAAGGCAGTGCAATTATAGCAAAAAGCTATAAACAACAGAACAGTACCTAAAAGCTGTAAGTAGCAGAATGTAGCTAAAAACCAAGAGTAGCATTGCAAGCTAAAATTAAAACTATTAGCTAAAATAGGTTCAAAAGTAAACAATGTTTTTAAAGGAACTGAAGAGAACGTAATTCATTTTATGAAGAAAATCTTTGAAAAAAAGGTAAATATTTTGAAAAGTATGAAGGTTACAAACCCAAAGGCACAGCACCGATGTCCTGAATGAGCTGAACGTTTGGCTGCGTGGACGGAGCTGAATCAGCACTGAAGCATTAATAACATAACCAGGGTTATGACACTGTCATTAAAACGTCTGTTTTAATAAGGGCTTGTGGTGGCGTCTATTACCTGGAACACATTACTCATTTGTTTTAAACATGGAACGTAAAGTTAAAAGAAGCGGAGTGTAAGGAACCCTTTAAAAAGCTGAAACATTCTTTAATTCATAATTGTGTGTTCCTTCGTGCGTTCCTGGCGTCCTCTAGAGCATAAAGCAGTTCCTGCTGCTGTCCAAACGCCGCTCCGCCCTCATCACTCAGTGCCTGAAGGACTCCGAGACCAGCAAGCCAAACTTCATGCCTCGACTCTACATCAACAGACGTCTGGCCATGGAGCACAGAGATAATCCGTCTGTGGACGCCAGCTGCAAGAACGCCGTGTTCAGTCAGGTAGAACGTCTGAGTCGGGACGGGAAGCAGCTCAGGTGTTTCTGTGGTTTCATCTGGGCGATCTTCTCTCCTGCAGGTGTATGAAGGCCTCAAACCATCCGACAAATTGGAGAAGACGTTGGATTATAGGTGCGTCTTCTCAGCCTCGTTCCTAGATGTGCTCGAACCAGATTATAATCTGATGTAATCTGTCTCCTCAGGTGGCCCGCTCGATACGATCAGTGGTGGGAGTGTAAGTTCATCGCTGAGGGAATCATCGACCAGGGAGGAGGATTTCGGGACAGCCTGGCGGACATGTCGGAGGAGCTTTGCCCCAGCTCGGCCGAGTGCCCCATGCCTCTGCCGTTCTTCACCCGAACCTCCAACCAGGTAGGCTCCTCGCTCCTCGCTGCCGGACGCCACGATCAGGCTGACCTCGCTTTTCTAAGACTGTCGTCCGCTCGTCCGTCAGGGCGCCTTAGAGGCCAGAGACTACTACGTCCCCAACCCGTCCTGTAAGGACTTCCACAAGTACGAGTGGATCGGTCAGCTCATGGGAGCTGCTCTCAGAGGAAAAGACTTCTTGGTGAGCATCACGACAGAAGAACGACGAACGTAGACGAACTCTGCAAGAGAACATCTGTCAGTACAAAAAGTGGTGTAGAGGATCAACAATTCATAAAAACGAGGTTTATTTTGGCTTTTATAACATTCAAGACGGCTTTTGACTCAAACTTTGGAGTTATTTATTGTAATAAGACGGCTCATTTACTGCTGTGGGTGCTTTATTTAAATGTTTGAGTAATTCTTAGTAAAGGTTTGTGTTTTTATAGGTTTGAACTAGTATCATAAATGGGTTTGAACAGTACAAACTCACATTTATTTACTTGTTTCTCATAATTACACAGAAACTTGGGATCAACAGGATTATTCGGGTTTACATGAAAACACAAACAGTTTCTCTCCTAACTTTCATTTACTGCACAGGTTGAATTTTCTTCTGGATATTTAACGGCTCTAAACTCGTTTAGTTCAATAAACCAAACTCTGCATCAGAAGTTTAAACGTTTCCCCTCGTGTGGTGGTTAGCGCTCGTGTTGCTCATTCTGCAGGTGCTGGCGCTGCCCGGGCTGGTCTGGAAGCAGCTGACCGGAGAGGCCATCAGCTGGAGCAAAGACTTCCCAGCAGTCGACTCGGTTCTGGTGAGAGCGTTTAAGTCGCAGTAGAACCCCTTTAAAGAAGACCTTACCGTTCCATACTTTCCACATTGAGCAATTCACTCTCAGACTGCAGGTTTACTTGTGGTTCCTAGAGTTTCTAAAATGGGAGGCAGAGCTTTGAGTTTTCAGGTTCCTCTCTTGTGGAACAAACGTTCAGTTTCTGTCTGTGAAGCTGACGCATCGTCCAGTTTTAAGACTTTCCTTTTTGACAAATCCTATAGTTGGGATCAGCACAAGTTTCCTGAGTTATCTCTTCATTCTGCTGCTATAGGCTTAGACTGCTGGACTGAACACATCTCCCGACTCTGCTGCTGTCTTTTCTCTCCATGTTTGACTTTGTAATCATTTTATATTTTTATAACCATGTTGCTGTAATCCGTTATCTTTCTTCTGCACAAACACTTCCTGTTTATCAAAGTTCATGCTCAATAATCCAGGTAAAAAAAAAAAAAATCCAACAAAGTTAAGTCAGGTGCTCTGGACTGTTTCTTTTTTTGTTGCGACGTTTCGTCCTTCATCCAAAGGACTTCATCAGTCCGAGGAGCCACAACAAACAGTCTTATAAGTAGCTTGAATCAGCAGTGTGTCAGCAGTACAACACTGGACTGGTTTAGGTCCTACTTAACCGAGCGTACTTCTGTGTCTGCCTTGGTGACCATGTGTCCTCCTATGCTCCTCTTTTGTGTGGGGCTCCACAGGGCTCAGTCTTAGGCTCCCTCCTCTTTACACTGTACCTGCTTCCTCTTGGCTCTATTTTTAGAAAATATGGGATCCCCTTTCATTGTTGCGTAGATATATGTGCTGCTGTTGTTCGGCGTGTTGTTTTTGTACTATTAGTGCTTAGCGTATTCTTAGTTTAGCGTATTTCTTAGTTCATATCTTAGATCTTATTACGGTTTTCTTTACAATTTATACTTTTGTTGGATGTAACTGGGACCCTGTGTACACAATTTCGTTCCACCACATGTACCACATACGACGCGAATGACACTAAAGAAACCTTGACCTTCACCTTGATGTGTCCCGTTAAAGAAAAAGGACTCTAACTCTCTGGCCCCTCTGTTTTCACGTCTGGAGGACATAAAAGCCTGGATGGCTGTGAACTTCTTAAAGTTCTTAAAGGCCAACCAGTTTGATGGTGAGAAACTGGTTTCTGGAGACCGCCTTCTCCCCCGTCGACTCGTCTGAGGCAGCCATGGCCAAAGTGGTTCAATTATGTTTTGAACCACTTTTGCGGGGGGAGAGGGTGGACTCCAGAAACCAGCTTCTCACCATCAAACTGGTTGGCCCACTATGTGAGTGTCCTATTTATAAGACTGAGTTTGTTGTGGCTCCTCGGACTGATGAAGTCCTTGGGATGAAAGATGAAACGTTTCAAAAATAAACCATCCAGAGGACCCGACTTAACTTTGTTGGACTTTCTGTTTAGTTTGATCGTCAGTAACTCCTAAAACACGAACGCTGATCGATCCTGTTTGGTTCCTGACGGCCTCTAAATGTGTCGTCAGGTGAACCTGCTGGAGGCCATGGAGAACATGGACAAGGAGACCTTCGAGTTCAGGTTCGGGGACGAGCTGGTCTACACGACCCCTCTGAGCGACGGCCAGCTGGTGGAGCTCGTCCCCGGCGGCGGCAACGTGTCCGTTCGATACGAGGACCGCAAGGAGTTCATCCGCCTGGTGGAGAAGGCTCGGCTGGAGGAGAGCAGGCAGCAGGCGAGGCTCCTCGTGTGACTTCGTCCCTCAGCAGCTGAAGTTCAGGGTTTGACTCGATGTTTCTGTCTCCGTGCGCCGCAGATCGCAGCCATGCAGGCAGGACTGCTGAAGGTGGTTCCTCAGGCCGTTCTGGACCTTCTCACGCTGCAGGAAGTGGAAAAGAAAGTGTGTGGAGACCCGGAGGTCACCGTGGAAGCCCTGAAACGCCTCAGTGAGTTTTCACGTTTAAAAGAAACATTTTCTGTCGTTATTCAAGACGAGGGAGAAGTTTTGTGTTTTTTTTAGTCCAGAATTTCAGTAAAAGACGAATGAAACTTTAGTTTGGTTAAACTTAGATTTTAGTCATTTTTATTATTATGTTTAATAGCTTCTCAACATTACTACGTTTGTATCTTTTGAGTTTAACATCCAATAAAAGTATTTTATAAACACAGAAAATGTGTTTTTTAACAAATATTTTATGTTTTTTGTAGTTTTCACTCATTTTTAGTCTCCGATGTTTCTGCTAATCAAACATAAATTTAAATAAACATTTAAAGTACCTGAACGGTGTTTTGAATCGTGAAGTCGTTTTTATCCACCCATCAGCCATAACATTATGACCACAGAAATGTGAATAGCATAGGATCAAATATGAAATATGTTTAAAAATATTTTTGTAGAAGCTGAAAACGTTGATTTTCTGTTCATGGCTACTCGTAGCAAACCTCCAGGTGTTTAGTGCAGCTACTCCTCCACAGGTTGGGGCTGTTTTGTTTCAAACATTCGGTTTTAAAGTATTATTTTACGAGCAGCTCGTACAGAAACGCGTCGTGTTGCTACGAGTAAAACCAAAGAAACAGAAACTGGTAAAATATTAAACCACCATCCTGCTCTTCCCACAGCGCGCTATGAAGACCTGGAGCAAGGCGACCAAAGGATCCAGTACTTATGGGAGGCGCTGACTAGCTTCACCAACGGTATATCATCTCTTTTTTAATTATTTTTATTTTTTAAAGCGGTGATCGTCTTTAAGAAGAAAATCCGATTTCAACCGGATGTTCTGCTTTCAGAGGATCGCAGCAGGTTTCTGAGGTTCGTGACGGGTCGGAGTCGTCTCCCTGCACCGATCTACGTCTACCCGGACAAACAAGGGTGAATCTTATGTTGAACTGTTACTGCGGCGTGGTTTGGTTGTTATCAGGGAACGGTTTAGTTCGAACGCGTGAGTTTTCAGCGTCGTCTTTGTTCCCTTCTTCAGGTCCGAAACAACCGATGCGCTTCCACAGTCGTCCACGTGCTCCAGCACCCTTTATCTACCCAACTATCCAAGGTGAGGCAACGTTCATTCATTCTCATTTCCTCTTTCGTGGACTTTGTTTTGTTTATTTAAACCTCCTCATGTTCACATTATTCTGTTTTTTCATCCGTGTCTGCCATTTATGCTGCTTCGCTCACGGAATAAAATGTGTCCGGAGCTGCAACACCTGCTCCAGCTGTGGTTTTAAACTGGTGGCTCATGGGCCACTTAGTTTGTCAGAGGGGGGCTTTTCTGGCCAGTAGGGGCGACACTATAAAACTAAAAATATATAATTAATTTGAACATTTATTGATATTTTTACATTTTAGGACAAAATAAAAGAACATATTCATGTAAAAAAGAAAAAAATATACAAGTTTTGATAAAAAGTTAAAACACTGACGAGTTATTAAGTAATAAATGGTAAGTTAAAAAAGTGTGCATCAAAATTAGGACATTTTGTTGGCTATGTAATTGTGACTTTTTGTGATTTTAAAATAGAATATAACAAACTTGTATTTACTTTTAATTTAAATTAAGTTTTATTTTTCTCATTCTTCTTCTTTTTTTTTTTTTTTTGATTGACTCATCATATTTCACGTTGTAATATTTGTCCTAAAATTATTCCAGAGAGTTTCTGGTGGATTTGAGAGAAAGATCCACGGTGGGGATGGATAAATTAATGTGTTAGGATTAGATTTTCAGAAAAGTGTCGCAAAAAAGAAAAAAAATCTGCAAAAACGAGCTTTTTCTGCTGTGGGTATAAAAAACAATAAAATAAATTTCATGTTCGTTTTGGTCAAAGCTTGAAAGAGTCGCAAACGAGGGACCAAGAGTCACATGTGGCCCCAGAGCCGCAGGTTGCAGACCCTGCTGTTAATCCAGGGGTCTACAACCTGCGGCTCTGGGGCCACATGTGACTCTTTAGTCCCTCTGCAGTGGCTCTTCAAAGTTCAGTGTTTTAAATTTTTAGCTTTATAATGTCGCCCCTACTAGCCTGAAACTCCCCCTCCAACAACTCGAAGTGGCCCATGGGCCACCACTTGATAATCACAGCTGTTTTTAGAGCAAAGGTGACAGAAATGGTTGTTTTTGTCGTGGAGGTTGCAGCCTCCTGCGTTAATCCATCTGCTCAAAGGTCGCCTGTGCTTTCGTTCTGTTTCTCCTGCAGTGCGAAGGTTTGCGAGGAGAAGCTGCGTTACGCTGCGTACAACTGCGTGGCGATCGACACCGACATGAGCCCCTGGGAGGAGTGACCAACAAAAACCAGACGCCGAGTTCACCGCCACATCCCCACAACCACGTCTTAGCAGTAGCTGTATATAATAAAGAGCTGTGTAGAAACAAAAGGGACTCATTGAGAGTTTTATTAATTGTTGTAAAGACAGACCTTTAGTTTAACGTGTAAAGAATAAAATATTTACAGGCCTACGAGGAAAGTGGAGCTGCCCCTTTTTTTTTTATATATTTTGCTTCCAAGAAGCAGATTTTCAAGCAACAGTTCTTCACAGTTTCTAAAGATATTTTGCTGATTGGGTTTCTTTCTCACTCATTTTCAGTCCATTCCCTGAATGTTTTCAAGCACATTTTTTGTTGTTGTTTTGTTAAGCCATTAGAAAAACATTTAATTAGACTATAATTAAAATAAAAAATTAAAGCTTTGTCTTAACTACGTTGTCATAAATAAAGAAAGGGCTGGTTTAAAGCAAATCTTTACAATTTATTTATTAGCAGCTTGTTGCAAAGATACGACGGAGAAGATGTACGATTTATTTTTGCTTTTTTTTTTTTTACAAAACGTTAAAACAAATAAAATATATACATACAAGCATCTACCTAAATAAAATTCAGATTAAATTTACAGATGAAAGTCATAAATATTGCTAATAACATTTTTGACCATGTTTAAGATCATAGTTGCGCTTTTATTTTACATCTGCATCTTTCTCATTCCAGATGTATATTTCATATTAACATGCGTGAGCTGTGCTGCAAAAAGAGTTCAAATGAGCGCCGGCTGCAGTGCAGAAAACAAAAATAAAATTGCATATAATCTTAATCTACCTTTAGATCAATGTTTTCAAATGAGTATGTTGTCAGAAATAATCCTTTTAATAATCTTTGAAATTGACATTTTTTCTCTGCTGGAAATCCTTTTGTATAAGGTTTGGTCTCACTGTGCAGCTTGAAGAAGCCCCTTTTAAATATAACATTCATAAGCAACATATGGCCCGAGGGCCAAAAGTGGCCCTTAGATGAACTTATTCTGGCTCTTAATATTCCTAATTAAATAGTTTGATGAACACTTAAATTTTATTAAAACGAGCTTAGACAAATACAAAACTATTGGATTTAGATGGGTGAAAACTTATTTATTTTTTGCCTTTTTGTTTGTGTAGGGAAACATACTTTTACCAAGCATGCCAACTATGCCACTACAAGAAATCTAACAAAGTTCAGTCAGATCATCGGGACTTTTTCTTTGTTGAAACGTTGCGTCCTACATTCAAAGGACTTCGTCAGACCAAAGAGCCACAACGAACTCAGTCCAACAAGCACATTCACATTGTGGGCCAAACGGTTTGCTGGTGAAAAGATGGTTTCTGGGACCCGCTCTCTCCCCCGTCGACTCCTCTGAGGCAGCCATAGCCAAAGTGGTTCAAAACATCAAAGTTCATGCTCAATAATCCAGGTAAAACAATCCAGCTAAGGTAAGTAATGTCATCTGGACAGGTTTTTTTTTTGTTTTTTAATGTTTTGTCCTTCATCCAAATGACTTTGCCTTGATACAATAAGAAATCCAGACCAATAAAATTAAGTTTTAAATCACAAAATTTTAAACTATCTTTTTTAAGCTTTTGACATGGATAATTAAAAAATGACTCAATCTTGAAATGTTATTTTTTGTCACTCATTTTGTCAGGCAGGGGTCACAAAATGTTTGAAGTAGAAATTATAAAAGGTTATGACTATCAACAGTTTAAAATGTCATAAACATTAAATTTAAAAATAAAACAAAACATATTTGTTCGTTTGTTGCAGAGGCTTTGGTTCATTTAAGTCAATAAAACTTGACATTTATATCGCCATACAAGGTTTATTTAATAGGAATAAAAGTTTTTTGGTTTTCTTATTTAGTTGAAAACGGTGCATAAATCTCGCCGTGGTGTCAAATCTCGCGAGAACTCGAGTCTTGAAACTTTCCCATGAGCCTTAGCGGTTCCTCTTTCTAGCCGGCGCCTGAGAATGGGTACGCGTTTTCCTTCTTTACTCGGAGGCAGAATCCTTCTCCATCTAATGCTTTGACGAAGAATAATGCGCTAAATGGTTTGCCTTTTTAAAGCTAAATGTTGTAAAAACATTTGTACCTCAGAATGGATGTTTAGCCGCGGTGGATTATGCGTTAAAGAAGTAATTTCCTGTGGTTGAGCGAAATATTTCAAGATGGCTGTTCTCATAGCCCTTGCAGTTAGCTGCTAGGTGCTGAAAGTGTGTTTCTGCGCTGGTAATGTTGCCGCTGGTGGAGTTTTCAAATGTTTTTAAATTAGAGGTAGAGTTTATGTTACAGTCTGTCAGTTTTACAGAAGCCGTTTTGAAAAAGGTTAAAGTTTATTTTAGCGGTCCTTGTTAGCATTAGCTAGCATGTTGATCATGTCGTGCTGCTGCTTCGATACGTTTCAAGGAAAATGATTAATTTTTTTTGTTCTGGAGAGTTTTAATGCTGATTTTATTTAACCGATTGTTAGGTAGATGTGCGTGCATGTTGGACTCTTATAGCCACAGTCTGGCATTATCGTACTTAAAATAGTTAAATGTTAAACCATTTACTATGTATTCAGATATTTTATAAACCTGTTGACGTGTATTTAAAATTTTTTGGAAGCCCGATTCTTCTAAATTTCTGGCCTTACCCTAAATTGCTTGAGTGATGTGATGAAACCTTTTATGCGGATTCTTAAATCACAATGTGGACAAACTACCTTGGAGAACTGATCACTCAAGCACTTAATGGAAATACTTCTGTTGAACATCTTTAGTGCACGAGTCTGACACCTGGTTGTTCTTCACATCAATGCAGGTATCTCAAGGAACAACTGGCATAAACGCCGCAAGACCGGCGGTAAACGCAAGCCCTATCACAAGAAAAGGAAGTATGAGCTCGGGCGTCCACCTGCAAACACAAAGGTGAGAGAGGAGGAGACGGCCTTGGACATTTGCCTAACACAAGTGTGGGTGATGAAAGCTTGGCCTTAGGTGGGACCTGTTTTTGTGCCGTTTTGGTTCAAAGCTTTAGGCTCATCAATGCTGGGACATGTCATAGTTACACTGACACACTTTAACAACTGTTTTTGTGCTGCTTGTGCCACTTGGAAGTTGTTAAAACTGCCCTGTTCTTGTAGATTGGACCTCGTAGGATCCACACGGTGAGGGTCCATGGTGGGAACAAGAAGTACCGTGCTCTGAGGTTGGATTCTGGAAACTTCTCATGGGGCTCTGAGGGTACGTTTTCCCACGTGGCTTTTATAAACGCCTTCTTTGGTGCTGCTTTCTATGAAGATACCATGTCCAGTTCTGCTACTGAATGCAAGTGGTGACATCAGTGACGCTGAGAAAGATCTGTCAATCATTTTTAACATTGTTAGATGTTTTGATGGGGAGTTTTCTAGTTCTGACTACGCTGACTGTTTACAGGCTGCACACGCAAGACCAGGATCATTGATGTGGTATACAATGCCTCCAACAACGAGCTGGTCAGAACCAAAACCCTGGTGAAGAACTGCATCATTCTGGTGGACAGCCTTCCCTTCAGGCAGTGGTATGAGGCCCACTACGCCACTCCTTTGGGACGCAAGAAGGGGGCCAAGCTGGTATGTTTGTTGTCGCTGTTTTGGTTTGATCTGCACATGTTGCTGCCGAAAATACCTTTTATTTTTCTGCCAAGTAAAGTTTTTATATTCTGCTGGTTTGGTGGGTTTATCAGGATGTGTGCAGACAATGTAGTTGTTTTTTGCCTCACAAGGTAAAATAATCTGGCTAAAGTTTATTGTTGAGGGGGTGTTAAAGCTCCCGTCTGATCTGTTCAACGTCTTTCTGTGATGAAAATCTTTGTCAGTTCTGCTACTGAATGGAAGTGGTGACATCAATGGCTCTGAGAAAGACTGAAGTCAGCAAAAAGTTGATACTTTAAAGTTAAAAAGTTCATTGTATCCCTCTGAGAAGTTGTCTTTTTTCTGTGCAGACTCCTGAAGAAGAGGAGCTCCTCAACAAAAAGAGGTCCAAGAAGACCCAGAAAAAGTACGAGGAACGTAAAAAGACAGCCAAGATCAGCAATCTCCTGGAAGAGCAGTTCCTGCAGGGAAAGCTCCTTGGTAGGTCCAACGTTGTTTCAGCTTTAATACAAACATGCATTGTCGACGTTCAAATAGAATCTAAACTGAAGAAATTTTGATTTATTTGAAATTTGGCTCAACAAAAATATAATTTATTGGGAGGGGGTCCTAAATTTATGCTTTTTTTTACACTTTGAGATTTCACACAGGATCGTTAAGTTTCTGTCCTTGAGTCTGTTTGCTCGTGTTTATTTTACGTACCGGTAAACTTGTGGGTAATTTGGGACTCCTGCTGATAAATCGTTAAAAACTTGAACAAAAAAGATTAAATGAAACAGATCCTGGCTTTTAAAATATTTTATATACAAACCTTTTGTGATTCTCACTAAAGGTCATTTAAAATTACCATAAAGCAACTTTGTTGGTTCAGTAAGAAACAGTTTTATACATAAATATTATTAACAACCAAACTGATATTAAACTAATGAAAGCATTTTTATTGAGTTGTGCATCTGTTTAACCTGCGTGTTTAAAAGTTTCCAAAGAGCACTGGATTCCAGTTCAATGTTTTTTACACGTTGCGTCTGATTTCCTGTTCTCCAGCCTGCATCGCCTCCAGACCCGGTCAGTGCGGCCGGGCAGACGGCTACATCCTGGAGGGCAAAGAGCTCGAGTTCTACCTGAGGAAGATCAAGGCAAAGAAAGGCAAATAGATGTACAGCTGTTTGATACGCCAATAAAATTTAAATGTCCCACACCTGTGACCCGTTTCTGTCCTTTCTGTTACAAAATGAGTGAGCTGCGTTTAACTCAGTCCTTCTCAAATAGTGGGGCGTGCCCCCCTGGGGGGCCAGGGGGGCCGCATGTGACCCTAGAAAACATGTTTTTTGTTTTTGCCGCAGGGAGTATTTTATTTTTTTTTAACCATTCTCATTTTGTTGCGCGTGTTTGTAATAATAAAGTTATGAACAAATATGGCTGCCTTGTGGTTTTGGGAGCCATGCATGAACCGTGTCTCCTCTGCTGCTGACACGATAAATCACCTCCAACCATCACCTCCGCTACTGTTTTTATGTCCATGCGCTATGGACGTCATGGCATGCATGCTACAAAGAGTAAACTCAAGCGAGAGCAACACCTGCCCCCTTTTTCCTCTTGCGCTGACAAAATGTTTTTGTTTTATTGATGTTTGTCAAAGTACAATTTACAGAAGTAATGTCTTGATAAATGTTAGGATTCTATTCTTTGCTAACAAAATTAATTCACCTCAGTTAAGCTGCTGTTTTTTCATGCTCTGGACACTTGCACAGCGCACATGTGACAAAGAGTAACTCGATGCAAGAGTGACACCTGCCCCTCTTCTTTCATGTTGACAATTTTTTGTTTGTTTTATTGACGAGTGCTCATTGATCCTGTCTTAATCATTTTGATTTAAAAAAAATCAGCATAAATTGTTTTATTCATTTTTGTTTTGTAGGTCAGTGTTTTAATACTCCTGAGTTAAAATGTTGCTGACCAATTTGAATTTATTATTTGATTACATTTAATTTTATTTTTCAGTATCAAATAGTGATAAATGTTTAGTTTAAAAAAGGATTTTTTTTTTCAGGCAAATTAATGCACTTTAAGTTGTTTCTGTTACAGACTAAAAAACAATGATAGTTATTTCCTTGTAAGTTTATCTATTTATATATATATTTTTTCTTTAATGTTAAGGACACAATGTTAGGCAGAGGTGTATTTATAAGAATTTTATAGACACTACAGTCGCGGCAGAGAGTTGGGGGGGGGGGGGGTGAAATGTTTACTTCTTTCTGGAGGGGGCACAACAGAAAATAATTAAGAAGCACTGGTTTAACTGAACATGAGTGGATGTACCTTTCATCATGTGCACTTTAAAAAAGTAAAACGCGACCTTTAACCTCATCGTTTGCAGTAAATGCATTTGTCTGAGGAAATCCCAAGTTAAAATGGACATTTACCAGTAATGAGACATCTTTAAATGCATTAAATGGTTACCTCTGTATGTGGGATAATTTATTGGCTAAATTGCTTTTTCCCCTCATTTGGAGCAGCAATGTTTTCAAACAGGAAGTGGGTACCACTAGTAATTCTTAAATACTTGGGTATTTTGGGAGACTGCGACGAAGTGAAGATTCAACGAGTCTGCTCCTTCCTTAGATGGAGAACTTTACTAATTGGCTTTTCTATGTATGTGAATGTTTCTATAAAGCGCCCTGAGAACTTTGTTGAGATATGGCGCTATATAAATAAACTGAATTGAATTTGTGTCTCTTGAGCCTCATGTTGAAAACTTGGTAAAGTAACAAAACAATTTCTTTTTCAGAGTGGAGCGTCTTAACTGGAACACTTTGTAAACTACTTTCCTTCACTCCATTGACCACAGTGACCTTACTGGTATTTATTTGAACACTCCTACAAGCACTTTGCAGATGTTGGATACTGTATCATGGTGCTCTAAGATTCATAATTGGCTGTAACTACCGTACCGATCATTGCACCTTGTATTTATTGGTCATTAGCATCATGTACTCACTGGTACATTTTCATCTTTAAATCACTTCTTGGTCTGTTGCCTTCATACATTTCCTCTTACATGTCACTTCTTGAGTGCAGCCGCAGCGTGCACTCAGGACATTATTACATGCAACAAAGTTCATGCTCAATCATCCTGGTGTCAAATCCAGTCATTCTCCAGTCAGGTCATCTGGAAAATGTATTTTCATAGAGACATTTCGCCCTCTATGAAGCCCTCCAGATAGAGGACGAATTGTCTCTATGAAACAGAAACTGTCCAAATGACCTGACAGAATTATTGGATTATTACATGCATTGTTCCCTCAATGTGGACCAATCTAGGCAAAAGGTCTTTCATTCATTCATTCAACCTTTATTTAAACAGAAAAGTCACATTGAGCCTTGAAGACTCATTTACAAGTGAGACCTGTTTGGACAGACTGAAGTGGAGAAAAAAACAGGGTTTGGAGACAAATACATTCGTAACACAACCTCTGGTTGAAGGTCAACAGTGATAATGGGGAGAAAAAAAAATCTTGCACACTAGCACGTAATGATGCCAACATTGGGGGGGGGGGGGGGGGGGGTAATGGATGACTATAATATACAAGTTTCACTTCCACCCATCCATTATCTTTTACCCGCTTCTTCCATTTTGGGCCACGGGGGTCGCTGGTGCCCATGTTCAGCAACCATTGTGCAAGGGGTGGGGTACACCCTGGACAGGTCTCCAGTCCATCACAGGGACACATAGAAACAAACAACCATTCACTCACACCTAGGGACAATTTAGAGTTACTAATCAGTCTAACATGCATGTTTTTGGTCTGTGGGAGGAAACTGGAGTACCTGGAGAAAACCCACACATGCACGGAGAGAACATGCAAACTCCACCCAGAAAGGCCCCCGGACCAGGATTTGAACCAGGGACCTGCGCGCTGAGAGGAAGCAGCTCTACCAGTTGCGTCACTATGCTGCCCTCATAAAAAAATCACTCAGTTGAAATAGTTCCCTCTGGGGAGATCCGTACACACTTAGGACTAATCCAAAGAGCCAAGGACTAATTAGCCAAGGACTAATCCAAAGAGTCCTGAAACTATGACAGAATGTTTATTCAGTTGGGGCCCTCTGAAAAGTCCATGGAAATTCCTTGGTAGGAGGGGAGGGAGGGGTAGAGCTTCAGATTTACAAAACTTCCAGGTGGGTTGAGATAAGATGGCCTGTCAAGGCCAGTCAGGGAGATGAATTCAGATAAACATGGGCAGAACTTTAATGACATCTACCTTGAGTCTGTCGGTCCACTCGGTTCCGAAACGTCTAAATTACATAGCCACACCGATGGACCGTGCCTGAGAATAATCCCCGAGATCTGATCCATTCTGTCAAAAGCGTTTGAGTCTGGGTGCTCGAGGCACGAACCAAGCCACCGTATAAGGCAGGCAGCCTGACAAGGTCCAAATTTGCTGCAGATGACTTCCTTAATTGTTGATAGACCAGGAACCAGCCAAATCCAAATAGGCGGAACCAGTTATGATAAATCAAATTATAAATGTGTCCTTAAAATCCACAAATGGCAGCAGAGACAGACACGTCATCAAGTCTTCCAAGTCGATGAGACATCCAGCTGTGTACATGCCAACAGGGCAAATGGGCTCGACTAAAGCCTGTCTTCTCTTCAAAGAAATGTTATCAAATGTGTTGAGGGACCAAATGACCAAATCCAAGTCCATAATTATGATTTGGAAGAGTTGTAGAAGAAAATCTCTAAGCAGTTTCACAGACAGGACAGAGCCAAAGCGGAGAGGGAGAGGAGGAGAAGACGTCCGCCCTTGACAAGAGCAAGTGTTGAAGTTCACCTGAAGAAAATATTCATAAAAAGTGGCTACATTATAAAGCAATGTAAAACAGGAACATGTCTGCATTGGTTCTTGACAGGAACTTAGTAGATGTTTGAAGCCACTTGAGAGGTCGAGCTTCAGATCTTTTTGCAAGATATTCCAGGAAACAGGAGCAGAGTAGGAGAAGGCCCTTTGACCTAGTTCAGTCCTCACTGAGGGAACACTGCAGGTAATAATGTCCTGAGAGCGCACGCTGTAGCTGCACTCACGCAGAGACATGTAGGAGGAGATGTATGAAGGCAGCAGACCAAGAAGTGATTTAAAGATGAAAATGTACCAGTGAGAGAGTCTGTGAAGTTAATGATGACCAGTTAACCAGTGAATACTGGGTGCAGTGATGGGTACGATAATCACAGCCAGTTATGAATCTTAGTGCACCGTGATAGACAGCATCCAACATCTGCACTGTGCTTGTAGAGGCGTTCATGTAAATAATGTGACCATAGTAAATGGAGGAAGGAAAGTCGCAGTTACAAGATGTTCCTAGCATTCAGAGTTAGACAAGATCTGAATCTATCTTACCTCGCTCTTGTTTCCTGGAATGTCTTGCAAAAAGGTCTGAAGCTCTCGACCTTGACCTCTCTGAGGGACCAGGTTAGACTTTTCATTTTATATGCTTATTTGTACTGTTGTGTGTACCTCATCTGTGTTCTTTGTCTAAAACTGTACCTCATCTGTGTTCTTTGTCTAAAACATGTCTCGTAAATGAGTCCTCTTCGGTGCTCAGTGAGACTAACCTGTATAAATAAAGGTTGACTGAATGGAGTAACGTTGAGGATTTAACTTATAAATGACTCATTTGATGCTTTGTCGTTTAAATAACGTTTTTTTTTTTACCCTCCTAACCTCATTAACCTTACGTTTGTTTTAATAAGCGCTAGAAATCACCGTAAAGCCATATTTTATCCCTGCACAACCATTTGAACTTTAGACCAATTTATTTCCCTTATCTGTGTCCTTTAGACGACAGACAATCTGCTATGATCCAAAGGTTCCAGCATTTAGAGTCTTCAGCTTCACTGACGTTTCAAGCTGACTTTAAGACCGTGTTTTAATTTTCCACTACGATCATTATGGTAAATAAAGTTCTATAAATACAAGCCTACTTCATTAGATAACTGGCAAACTGGGACAAAAGTCACAGCCCTGGTGCTGAGTTATGGCACGTGACAGATACCGCCAGCTCTGATTGGTGGAGAAGGCGATTAAGTGGCAACACGTGACTAATCCCGCTGCTCTGATTGGTTGGCGGGCCATAGTATAAATTCGTATATGTACGGTATCAGCTGGTTAGTGATCGTTTCTGTTTCTGCTGCGTCTTTGACATAAAAATGTTGCTCAATAAGGTATGATTTTACCCATATTCATAATGTTTTTATATAGGTATCCGGTTAACTTGTTGTTGTCTTTTATAACAGGATTTTCACGTTTTAATTGAAGATTTCCGAGCTTTGGTTTGCCACGTAAGCTAACAAGTTAGCAAAAATGCTACAGCGGACAAACTACATGATGCTCATTTACGGAAAGATCCGAATGTTTATAATCCTTTTAATGCGACATTTTATTTTTTATTTTATCTATTCAGCTGTCACTATGGTTAATAATAGCTGACTATATTATAAAACATTTAGATACAATAAAAATGGAAAAAGCATTAAAACTTTGTATGTTAACTAATTGTCTACTAGTTTGACCTAAAAATTAAACTCGACTACTAGTAATTACTAAAAGACTTAACTATTTAACTAGTTGACACATTGCTGTCCTTGCTATTTATGATGTGCACCTATGCCTGAAGTGTTGACAGGTTGACTAGAGGTCAGTTTTAACCAGTTAAGTCAACATTTTAATTCAGTTTCATTTCACTTCAGTTTATTTATTTAGCACCAAGTCCCAACAGAACAAACATTCACATCCATTATAATTTAAAGCCAACTGGTAAAAGTTATCTAAGGAAGCAGCAGATCGTGTTGAATCTTCATTTCATCACGATCTTCCATCCTGAGCAAGCCCAAAGGAGACAGTGGAAAGGAAAAAGTCCCTTTAACAGGAAGAAACCTCCAGCAGAACCAGGCTCAGGATGAGGAGCCGTCTGCTTCGACTGGCTGGATTTGAGAGGAACAGGAAGCGGAAACGAACACAGAATGGCAGGTCCAGGTGTGGTTTCTGTAGGAGGAAAAGCAAAACGACACAAGTTAACATAGTAATACAAATACAAACCGGTAGAGCAAGTGAAGACGGCAGCAAAGTGAGGAAATTTGGTCAATTTGTCCTCCAGTAGTCTAAACTTACAGCAGCGTAACAAGCCAACCATAACTATAGGGTTTATCAAAAAGGAAATATTTAATCCCAGTCTTAAAACTGGACAATGTGTCAGCCTCATGGACAGAAACTGGAAGTTGCTTCCACAAGAGAGGAGCCTGATAACTGGAAGCTCATCTGCCCATTCTGCTTTTGGAAACTAGGAACCACAAGTAAACCTACAGTCTGAGAGTGAAGTGCTCTGTTGAGAAAGAACGGAACAGTACGATCTGTAATATAAGATGGTTCTGGTAAAGTAACTGTTTAGTTTAATAAGATTTTTATGATTTATTAGTTAGAGCTTTGGTTTGTTTAATTTGAGCCGTGGGCGAGCTGGCTGTGTTAATGAGGGTTTGGGTGTGTAACGGAGGAGAAACGAGCGATAGGTGTGGCATAATCCAACTCTGCCTCCTGGATTTGACTCTGGCTTGTCAAATGGTTTGTTTTTTCAAAAACCATCTCAGAAGCATCAAAATGATACTTGGTTTGTTGAAATTTGGTGTTTTTCATCTTGTTAGCTTCCAAACCAGACTCTTCCAACGTATTTTTACAGACTGAATGGGCCGAAGTGACAGACCCCCAATCCCATACTCGCAGAGCCCCTCCTGCCCCGGGGAACAAAAACACGTATAGACTTGTAGGGCAAACTCCCATGCCTCTGGGGATTCTAGTGAGGGTAAAGAGCTGGCCCAGTGCTCCAGAACCAGTGGTTTCGTAGCAAGTTTAGATTAGTTTTCCTCTTTTTGACGTAAAAAGTGTGAAAATGATCGTAATGCTGATCTTGGACCTCCACTCAGGTCTTCAGAGCCGGACTTCGGTCTGGGATTCGTCTGCAGAGCTCCAGTGCCACCGCAGCTACAGCTGCTTCCAGCAGTCCCGCAGGGTCCCCCGGCTACTCGTTTGGTAAGCAGAACGTGAAACGAAAAGACGGGTCGACTTTAAGCTGCGGAGAGCTCATATCAACAACCCTGGATGAAATGATTTCATTCTGCGACGAGAAAACCTTAATTTGTAAACGTTTTTCTTCCCTTCCTGCTGCAGAGCTGACCGATCAGCAGAAGGAGTTCCAGCAGCTGGCGAGGAAGTTTGCTCGTGAAGAGATGATCCCTGTTGCAGCTGCTTACGACAGGAGCGGTGAAGTAAGTTCAGCAAGGATCCAGATGTTTGCATTGTCAAAAAAAAAATCTGCGTTCTTTTTGTCTAGCCTTGGCTTCATCTGTTTAAAGCCACAATAGCTGTCAAAATATGTGATTTATCAAAGATTATTTACTTCATCAATGCTGAAATTTAACAACGATTCTCATCGCGCAGTATCAAAAGTCTACCTCATGATTTGTAATGAATGAGTGAAATCAGACGATTCGTGTTTTGTTGCCAACAATTACGAGTCGTTTGTTTACATTTGAACATTGACAAGGGCGCCCGACGTCTCGGTGGATGAGGAGTCTGTAAAATAATCCACGGACGTAAACGGGATCGAAACAGACGCCAGGTCGCCACGTTCTTCTCTCCTTCTCTGAAAAGAAACGGCGACTCAAAGTTGTGAGGATGAGAGTGAACAGAGGTCGTTTTGGGGAGGAGAGCTGAGATCTTCTGCGAACGAGCTGAGACTGAACTCCAGCAGGAGAATTTCTGTAACCGAGTCCAACTTGGGATCACCATGTTGGACTCTGTTAACAGCACGGTGGTTTAGCGGTTGTTCCTCACAGCATGGAGGTCCTGGGTTCGATCCTCGTGTTGGGCTCGGGGTCTTTCTGTGTGGAGATGGCGTGGATTATTTCCAGGGACTCCGTTTCCTGCCACAGCAGATTTGACAGATTCATTAAATTAATTAATTAATTGCAGAATTTAGTGGTAAACAAATACGAGGAATATTAAAGGTTTTCTAACGCTTTTTTATTTTATTTTTAAATTTTATTTTGTTTTATTTATATTAACAATACATCCAACAATACTCCAATACATATTGAACATTATTGTTTATTGTTTATCTTATTTCTTATATATTGTGTTGTTTATTAACATTTAGGAACTTTTGTGTGAAATCTTTAAATCTTTTTATCTGTTGTTGCTGATACACTGGAATTTCCCATCCGTGGGACAATAAAGGCCGTTTCTATTCTATTCTTAACGTCAATCATTTAAAATATTTGGAAGTATTGGAGGTGTAACAATTCAAATCAACAACGCTGCTCGTCAGAAACAAACAGGCCTGCAGGCAGTTTAAATCAAATTACCATATTTTTCAGACTAAACGGATTATAAGGCACATTAAGCGAAACAAACCAGATAAGTGAAACTTTATTCAACTCCCAGTAACCACATAAACTCTGAGGTCAGGAAGCTCAACCAGAACTCGTGCATGAGGCTCACTGTCGATTTTTGAGGAGATTAAAGTGCGGCTTATAGTCTGAAAAATACTGTATCTGGATTAAAGTAGAAGTTTGAATAAGGCAGTCAGATAAATAGTATTTGTTGTTGCCCAGCTTCTGTTTTTATCTAAATTTGAGTTGAAGGTTTTCTCCTGCTCCTAAAAGACTTTCTTTAAACTTCTCAGTACCCGTTCCCCGTCATTAAGAAAGCCTGGGAGCTGGGCTTGGTGAACGGCCACATCCCACAGGAGTACGGTACGTTGTCCTCCTTTACCTGGTTACAGTAAGATCCTGCTTTTCCTCAGCGTTAAGTTTAGGATTGGTTGTGTGAACGTTGGTGTTCATTTTGGAGCGTCGCTGTTTTCAGTGAAGCTTCGTGACGAACGAGTGATTCACAGGTGAACTCTGGGAAAACTGCTGAGCCGCGTGGAAACGCGTGGCTACGTTCACGCGCTGCTCTTTTGACCTTTTTCAGGTGGGCTGGGCTTGTCGATCTTCGACTCGTGCCTCATCACGGAGGAGTTGGCGTACGCCTGCACTGGAATGCAGACCGCCATCGAGGCCAACTCTCTGGGAGTAAGTCTTCCGTGTTTGTTGCGCAATCGGGACAGAAGTTAATTTTGTACAAGTCGATGCCGTCAGGGCAACAAACTTTGTTGTTTAAAATCCAATAAGAGCAACTCGTCTGATCGCGTGGCGAGTGAGAAAATCCTGGAGTCAATGAAGGCGGCCACGATCCAACACTTTATTTTATTTACAGTTTAAAGTTCTTTCCTGACAGACGCCTGAGAAAAAACCTTTCAGGTTGAACTAAATGATCTGTGCTGCAACGTGAGGATATGAAGCTTCAAACTGATTCAGTTTGTTTAAATTTGGTGATTCAAATCTCTATTTGTTGCTCTGCAACGAGGTCACTGGCAGTCACAACCCATTTTATCATTGCATTATACGAAGGGATCTGTGCTGCTTTTAGAGCCCGACTCGTTGTGGACGTCTTCATCCGAACCTGACTCCACGTTATTCGTGACTGAAATAAATGGTTTCTAACCCCGAGCGAACTCGTTTCTGCAGCAAATGCCCGTTATTCTTGCTGGCAACGAGGCCCAGAAGAAGAAGTACCTGGGGAGGATGACGGAGGAGCCGCTCATGTGTGTAAGTGATCGACTCGAACGCTTCACGAAACTTTAATTAACCGTTGATTTGACCGCTCTGCCTTTCACATGGAAACAAGTTTTATTCAACTGTTTGTTTTTAACTTGCCTGTAGTAGAAATGGAGATATGACGGATATTAAAGATGTTTTTTGTTGCCAGTCGGGTCAAACCTGATCCGTTTGGAGTGACGCAGTGATCGTGATTAAAAACCACGAGTTGGAAACGTATCGGCAAGAAAACCTTTTTTAAGTCGTAAACTTTAAGGGCGTTAGCTGCCGAAACATTTCTACTGCAGTTTTGTGACGGGGTGACGCAGCTTTTCTTGTTTATTGCATCATAACCATGAAACAACCGAGCTGTGCTGCGACGTCGACCGTTCAGCCCGTGAAACGTTTTTATTCCCACAGGAAGTCGAGTATTTTAGACAAAAGCTATGAAAAAGCTTGTTGTGACTGTTTCTAAATCTTTTTGAGATCCATTTTTCTTTTGTACGTTTTTTTTTTTTTAGTGCATTAATTTGTTCGGCTGTTTTTTTGCGCCGTTCGAGCGCGTCGTATCTCAGAACGTTCAGCTCATTCAGGACATTCCAGCTCAGTTTTTGCTTTTTGACATACTTGTTTGGTTTTTTTCTACCATGTTTTTATTATTGGAAATAAATGCAGCTCTCTTCACGTCCTGCTGTTTAAAACCTTTCACTGCTCATTTCAGCATTTTTTTTGTTTGTTTGTTGCTTTTCTGGCTACTTTATTTTATAATTTCTGCTAAATTTATCTTTTCGTACTCATTTTTTATGCTTTCTACGTTAATTTCCCTTTTTTCAGCTCATGTCTGTTCAAATTGAGCTTCACGTGAACAGTTTTAGAGATGAACTCTTTTCAGTAAAAACCCTTCAGGAGTCGGCATCCACACCGTTTTCACAGGAAATGTGATTTCTTTAGTTGCAGTTGGCGCTTTTTATAGAAAGTGGTGGATTTTCACAGCCCTCATTATTTTTCCTGAGTAAGTTTTTTTTTAATTTCGATTGTCTAAAAGCAGCAAAAATAACCAGAACAGAATTGACGGGAGACGTGTCGGCTCATAGATTCAAAAGTCTCGGCTCGGGGCCTTTGTATCGCTGAGCTCCGAACAAAGTTAGTTTAGTTTTACTAAATAAACCAGCTGCAACTCGAACCCACCTAAAGAACCAGTTATTTTCAGTTGTCCAGTCAGAAAAATGTTGGTTTTGCATTTCCTGTAAAAATGCAGTGTGAATGCTTATTGCAGAAAAACCTGCTGAAACGGCTGAAATGAGCAAAAATAAATAACTGAAATGGAAGAACAAGCCTAAATTAGCAGAAGAAAGCAGAAAGAACATGCATTTGCTGAATTTGGTTTAAATAAACTAAAATTTGTACAAAAATTGGGAAATTAGCTTTAAAAAAAGCTGCAAAAAGATACTGAAAGGGCTGAACAAAGCTTAAATTAACAGATGGAGGCAGAAAGAACTGAAATGAGCTTAAAAAAAAAAACGTGTAATTGGCTGAAAAAGCTGACACCATTAATTTTGTTCTCTGCAGGCGTACTGCGTTACTGAACCCGGGGCGGGTTCTGACGTGGCCGGCATAAAGACCCGAGCGGTGAAGACGGGCGACGAGTACGTCGTCAACGGGCAGAAGATGTGGATTACCAACGGAGGGAAAGCTAACTGGTGCGTGCTCCTGCAGGTTCTGAAGTCCAGTTTGTGGTCAGTTTTGAGAATAAAGTCATGAATCACTGTTTAACTGGAGGAACGTTCCTCTGATCTGGGATCTGTGGAGCGTCTCCTTCACTCTGAAGTGCCGCTGGATGAGAAAAGTCAGATTGGACTAATAAATTCAGACAAAACAAGTTTGATTTATTTAGTGGTTTTAAAGCTGTTTGTTTAAAATGTTTTATCCTTTTTCATTAATTGTTAAATCTTTTCAGGTACTTCCTCCTTGCCCGCACCAACGCCGACCCCAAATGTCCGGCTAGCAAAGCTTTTACCGGCTTCATTGTGGATGCAGACACTCCAGGAGTCCAAGCAGGAAGGAAGGCAAGATGGACGTCCTCTCATTCTACACTTCTTCTGGAAGCACCTGAGCTGACGTGTTCACTTCTGAAGCTGTTTGTTATTATCAGAGTTTAGTTTGAGCTAAACTCTGTGAGTTAATGTTTGTGCGTTCAGGAGATGAACATGGGTCAGAGGTGCTCCGACACCAGAGGCATCACGTTTGAAGACGTCAGGATACCGAAGGAGAACGTCCTGATCGCAGAAGGAGCTGGATTCAAAATCGCCATGGGAGCCTTTGACAACACCAGACCCCCGGTACGTCTTCCATCTGGTGTATCCCCCCCCCACACACACACACACACACACACACACACACACACACACACACGACGTTCCTCATTCATCATGTGTGGCGTTAAAGTTCTGCATTTAACCGATGTAACGGCGTCACGATGAGACGTTTTCTCTACACACGTCCTGCTCACAGCTGTAAGAGTAAAGTTAAGCTCTGACGTGATGTCGTTCAGGTCGCAGCGGGCGCCGTAGGTTTGGGGCAGAGGGCTCTTGATGAAGCCACCAACTACGCCTTGGAGAGGAAGACGTTCGGCAGAGCCATCGCTGAGGTTTGTTGATCCACACGTCCGTTTTTATTTGTCGTGCACACGAGTTTTAACTGAACGACGTTTGGGCAGCATCAAGCCGTATCGTTCCTCCTGGCTGAGATGGCCATCAAGGTGGAACTGGCCCGGATGGCGTACCAGCGGTCGGCCTGGGAGCGGGACCAGGGTCGCAGGAACACCTACTTTGCCTCCATCGCAAAAGCGTTCGCAGGAGACATCGCCAACCAGGTGGCTTCTGATGCCGTTCAGATTTTTGGAGGCAACGGGTTCAACAGCGACTATCCCGTGGAGAAGCTGATGAGGGACGCCAAGATCTACCAGGTGGGTGTCGGCGCCACCTGCGGCGAGCCGGACTTCTTCTTATAAAGGATTCTCTCCGTTAAGATGATTTATCTTCTGAACTTTTAATTTGATGATGCATAACTCAACATTTGATATCCCAAAACGTTCGGCTCGTTCAGGACAGTCCTGCTGAGACGTTTGGTATTTGAGCAATTTTAGCTTTTTATTTATTTTTTTAATATTCAGCTTTTTCGGCCATGTTTTCCTCCATTGCAAATGAACGGAGCTTTCTTCACGTCCTTTAAACTCTTTGTGCCGTTTAAAACCTTCATTTCAGCTTTTGTTCTGCTTCAGCTTCTTTCTGCTCTTTACGTACTTTTTACTTAAAAAAATTTCTGCTGATTTTAGTTAGCCTTTTCTGCATTTTTGTGCAAATTTCTGCTTATTTTGATTCAATTATTTCAAATTCGAATGCTTTTTCAAAGATTCTTTCTGCTAATTTTTGCCTTTTTTTTTTGCTAATTTCAACTTTATTTTTTTTGCCTTTTCAGCTTTTATTTCTGATTTCAGATTTTTTGTACCAGTAATCTATTGATCCTCACTATTTCAGCTCATTTCTACACATTTTTGCTGTTCATTTATTTATTTTTTGCTGCTTTCAACTTTTATTTTTCTGATTTTGGCTGTTTCAAATAAATTATTTTAACAATTTAGGGAAGAAATTAATTCAAGCTGGTTTCAGCTTCTCAATCATTCAGCATTTTGTTTTCAAACATGTTAAATGGGATTGTGTGTGCATGTGTACGTGGATAGGTGTATACTTATTACTTAGATACTTATTTTACAGATTTATTTTGTGTGCATTCAGTCGAAGCAAATGCACGATGTGGGTTTGTTTTGCAAGTGGGTTCTATGTTCAAATGTGTATGCATAAGTATATATGTATGTATGTATGTATGTATGTATGTATGTATGTATGTATGCACAGGTTCATATTGGTGTTGATGTTGATATGCCCTGTGCAGTGGTTTTGACATGTCTAGAATGAAAAAATAAAAATCAAACTGTTCACGCTGGTTTCACAGGAAACTGGTTTCCTCCAGTTTAAATCGGTCTTTTTTTACTTTCTGTAGATCTACGAAGGCACAGCTCAGATCCAGAGGCTCATCATCGCCAGAGAACACCTGGGGAAATACAAGAAATGAGCCCGACTCCTCGTCTTCAACGAATCGTGATGTACATAACGTGAAGCCGTCCGCCTGAACTCAAGCTGTAGATGTTTGCCTTAAAAATGCTCATTTTTATCTGGAATGTGAAAATGGAGAGCGCCTTCTTAAATCACCATGAAAGGAAAGTCTTGTTGTAGCTGCAGGAGTTCCTCTCATCGTAGGATAAAGTTCAGTTTCATGATTTAACATCTTTGTTTCACTGCTGAAGGTACGTGAGTGACTTGTACAGAATGAGACACGAGTTCAAATGTTCGTTTTAGGAATTTCTTTTTCGCACTCATGCCTTGATCAAGTTAACATCCAGCTCCGCCTGTTGAAAAGCTCAAACCTGTAAAAACGATGTTTAAATGTAATTTTCAGGAGGAATCTGCAGCTCGTCTGCTTTTCTACACGACCTGATACCGGTTCTGTATTCCACGTCTTCAGACTTGGTCGGTGATGTTTGTGAATTTTATGAGCTTGTTTGCCAACTTTATTAAATTTTAATTCCTAAAATCTTTGCAGTTTAAATTTTTATGAGCACTGCTTTAATTTAATTTTATTTATTTAGGTAATGACCCTAGCTCTAAAAGTAAGGAAATGTGCGTTTGGTTCATTAGTTCCCTGTAGTTTCTTGTAATCGTGGAAATCCTGTATTTTCTCTTAAATGTTTCCAAATTTGTTTTAAAAACTAAGGTCGAGCAGCCAAGTTGAGTTTGTGTAAAACTTGTCAAATCTTTGCCAAACATCTGTTTGCTGTTGTTTATTGGACCGAATGATTGAAAGCTAAAGAAACAAGAAAAATTGGGAAACCTTATTTATTCATTTAACAAACGCGAGCTTCAGTGGCATGTGGAAAAGCCATATACAGCCACAACAGCCTGGCCCCTCCTTGCAGCTCACCACGCTGCTGTGGGACGCCGTCCAATTCTTCAACCAGCGTCCCAGTCAGCCAGCGAGGTTGACTCTGGACCGAGTGGCCTAAGCTGATCGCCGGGGTTGCGGTTCCAAATCTTGGAGGTCTCTGACAAACCCCCGCTCTGTGGGGTGACTGTTGCCATCTTGGAGGTTAGAGTTTGGTCCCAGACTGGAAATACAGGAATCTAACCTCGGTACCTCTGCAGTGAGATTGTGTTGGAGAAATTATCTTGTTCATCAACATTGTTTAATTGAAAGAACCACAACTTGCAGCATGTGAAGCTTTTAACCAGCACTTTATTTGCAAGGACTCATTCAGGACAGGTTACTACATACATGACCATATTTTTCGGACCATAAGGCGCATTAAGCGAAACAAAAAACACAAGTCAAACTTTATTCAACTCGTTCACAATAACCACGTAAAATCGGTTTGAAGTCAGCAAGCATGATCAGAGTTCATACATAAGGCGCACTGTCGATTGAGAAAATTAAAGGATTTGGAGCGCACCTTATAGTCTGAAAAATACGGTAAGTATGCAGCATCTATGCATAAGCATGAAGTGTCGCGGAAACGATCGGAGGACAGCGTTATCTGCTGACTTATAACATTCTCAGCAGGGAGTTCAGTGATGTCCTTGAAGCCAGTTGTAGCACATTTCACACTTTGTCTGCACAACCATATGGTTCACGGGCATCAAAGAACGTCACAACTTATTTAAACCTTTATTTTACCGAGAAAAAAAATCCATTGAGATTATTAATCTCCTACAAGGATGTCCTGGATGATGCAGGTGCAAACAAGCCATGCAGCAACCGTCTTAATAACGGTAATATTGAAATATTTACAACTAAACATCTGTTAATAAGACATTAAGTGCAATGCAATAATTTTGCCATTAAGGCGATTAGGCCTTCAGTTCAAAATAAAGTTTTGGGTGACAATCAAGCTGCTTCTCAGACTAGAGGGGAAATATTCTCAGCCACAATAATAAATAATAATTGACAGTATAAGTCTAACAGATTGCTTCCAGTGATTAGAAGCCTTGTTTTTCCAGGGAGGGAGATGCCTCCCACACCATCACACTGACTTCACCAAATGCTGTTACACAATCGCAATAGTATCTTGATCCTACGACCCAAGTGCCAAAGACTGAATCTGGACTTGCTGCTGAGTACAACTGTCCGCCACATGTACGGTGCATGTCGACGCTAATGGCCTGACTGTCATGACAGGTCTTTGTTTTCTTCTAGTTCAAAAACTACAACAATTACAACTTTGACTCTTTATCACTGAGCTATAAATGCTGAAAGCGGAGTTTGGGATTCATAAATCTTTTACATTATTTGTTTAAGTTAACAAAATTAAAATGTCTTTTCAGTCGTTTCTTTGACTTGTGGACTACACTGAATCTGGTCCAAGTAAAAAATAAACTAGACAGCTCAAAGTTGAAAGAAAATTGTGCACATAGAAATTAAATGGACCCTCATGCAATAATCCAGGTAGAAAATTTTATAAAAGTTAAGTCAGGTCCTCTGGAAGTTTTATTTTTTATTTTTTTAACGTCCATTGGACCTGGCTCGAATGACGAATGGGACACAGCGTTGTTTTTGTGTGTGGTGTTTCTGCTCGTTCTTGCAGTACTCCAGCTGTGACTGAAGGTGGCACTAAAGACTTTAAACTACCGTAAAACTGTAGTAGAAGAAGAAATCCGGAAGTAATAAGCTCATCACACAAAATATGCCAGAATGGTAAACATTAACCTGTTTCTGGGCTGTATATTAATATTTGGGATGTAATGTTATAATATAAGTAGTTGTAAATGTAAACTACTATTTGTTTAATCAAAAAATTGTGTTAAACTGGTTATTATTCTGTGAAAAGTAGCTAGCGTTAGCATGTAGCAGCTTACCTGCTAAACTCGCTTGTCACGTTCTTATTTATTCGTTTAGTTTCAAAGGACAATGTTGGAAAGGTTCAGTTGTATTTGACCAGTTTTGTCGTGTGTTTCGTTGTCAGAGTACTCATTTGAAAGATGTCCTCATCAAACCTGACGCTCCCAGCTCCCTGCAGCTGGACAAACATGCGGATTACATCGCAGCCTACGGCGCCAAGAAGGACGACTATGTGAGTCACGATTTATTTATGGCCAGATTATAAAATGCGTTTATGAACGGTTGAAAAGCTGTAGTGACATTAACATATTCTCACACAAATAAGCACATTAGGTGTCAGTGGGTGTGGACACTTCAGCAGCTGCCGAATCATTTTAAATACAAGAAACTTCTTCGGTGAAAGTTTCTGTTGAAAGGGCTAAGACTGAGCAAACATTTGATGCTGACCACCTTAATAATAAAGCCAATTTATTAGATCAAATGTTGGGACTTAAGTGTCTGATTTGCAATCGGTGTAGGATCGTTACCTGCGGTTTGCATTGTCATTGTGTTTTTAACTGTGTGATGATTTAAGGCAAATCTTCCTGGTTTCATGTCATCAGGATTACTGCTCAAAAATGGGTTGATTTGATCCTTCGTCAGCCAACTCACTCACCCTGATGTAACTTTTGCACCATTTTATAAGGAGTGATGAGATGTTGAAGCTGCTTACAAGCTGACAGATTCTTGAACTACCATCCATCCATCCAGTGTCTTTACCCGCTTCTTCCTTTTTGGGTCACGGGGGTCACTGGTGCCCATATCCAGCAGTCGCTGTGCAGGAGGTGGGGGACACCCTGAACAGGTTTCCAGTCCATCATAGGGACACATAGACAAACGAGTCAAACAACCATTCAGTCTCTCTTCTAGGGAGGAAACTGGAATACACGAAGAAAAGAAAACCCACACGTGCACAGAGAGAACATGCAAACTCCACCCAGAAAGGCCGCCAGCCGGGATTTGTTCTGGCAGCCTTATTGCTGAGAGGCAGCAGCTGTACCAACTTATCCACCGTGCCGCCCCTTTAACTAGAATGTTACCAAAAAAAAATTGAATAGTAACTCATTTTATTTATTGGCTGCAGCTTAAAATGATAAAATTATTCCAATGTTGTTAAAGATCAGATGAGACATGGGAAGTTATGGCAGTTTTAGCGAAATAAGAAAACTCACATTTCTCCAGAATCATTGATTCCGGGGCTTTCAAAGCAACTTTTGCATCAACGGATTGCCGTGAAAGTTGCTCCGAATGTAGAAAAGAGTTTACAATAAATTTCCACTTTTAATTTTTATGAATCCTAGATATCAGATTTTAATTAACGGATTATTTTTTAATTTTAGAATATGAGCCAAATATGTGAACTCAACTGTCTCAGTGATCAGGGAGTGTAACACACCTGCTTACACTTGTGAAAATGTTTGTTGGTTTAAAACTCATATATTCAAGTAGTAGACCTCCTGAACTTCCATAAAACCTGTAATCAATATTTGACACCTGGAGCTTCTGTTCTAATGAACCCCAGCAGAACTAAAACTGTTGTGTGTTCAGGAGTACACGCTGTCGGAGTACCTGAGGATGAGCGGGATCTACTGGGGTTTGACGGTGATGGATCTGATGAGCCAGCTGCACCGAATGAGCCGACACGAGATCATAGAGTTCATCAAAGCATGCCAGCACGACTGTGGAGGCGTCAGCGCCAGCATCGGACACGACCCACACCTGCTCTACACCCTCAGTGCTGTCCAGGTGACCGTTAACGCCGCTGTTCTGTCATTTAAATCAGATTAAACGTCATTTTTACGCAGTAAACCGGAATTATAGATGCACTTCTAATTCTGAAACACTAAACGGTAAAATTATGTTTCTTGGATATTTTTTCACTCTGGTTAGAAAATGAATGTTAGGTTTCAGATATAAATCTGAGCTGGAGTTTGTCGTGTTTCTCTTCAGGTTTGAGCTCACAGCAGTTTGTTTGTGTGTCTCCTCAGATCTTGTGCTTGTATGACAGCGTGGACGCGATTGACGTGGACAAGGTGGTTGAATACGTCAAAGGACTTCAGCAGGAGGACGGCTCTTTTGCTGGAGACAAATGGGGTGAGTGAACTTTATCATTCTTTTAAAGTAAACCAAAAACATGAATTCCTGTCAGATCACCACTGGTTCTTGACGAGGTTGGACGCTTTCCTCTCCCTCTCCGCTTTGCTTTGCTGCTCTGTCTGTCAGTGAAACTGCTTCTGAACCTCTCATGCGTTTCTTCCGAACCATAATTACGGACTTGATTTGATCAGTTGGTCCCTCAACACAATTGATGTATTTCTTTGAAGAGAAGACAGACTTTAGGCGAGCCGATTTGCCCTGTTGGCACGCACGCAGCTGGATATCTCACAGACTTGGAAGTCTTGACATGTCTATCTCTGCTGTCATCTGTGGATTTTAAGGACGCATATATAATTGGATTTACGATAACTGGTTCCTGCTTTTTGGATTCAGCTGGTTCCTGGTCTATCAACAATCAAGGAAGTTGTGTGCAGCAAATTGGGACACGATCACGCTGCTTGCCTTTATGATGGCTTGGTTCGTGCCTCGAGCACCCAGACTCAAGTACTTTTGACAGAATGGATCAGATCTCCGGGATTTTACTCAGGCACGTTCCTTCGGTGTGGCCATGTAATTTGGACATTTCGGAACTGTTTGGCCCAACACAGACTCAAGGTAAATGTCATTAAGTTCTGCCTGTCCCCAAAACAACTGTGCGTTTATCTGAATTTGGCTCCCCTGGCTGGCCTTGAAGGCCATCTTATCTGAATTTGCCTGGAGAACATGTGAACATGTGATTAGTGTGGGTATGCTGGCCTCACAACACGTGACTGTGAAGCTAGACGGCCAGCGAACAAAATGAAAGAAGTCCTCAGACAAGGATGGATTTCTTGTTTTTACTGAAGATCTTTGTTTTATGAATTTGTTCAAAGATGAAAGTATCCCAAGGTACAAGCGTGTATTGGAGCCGTTTTCTGCCTTATTTTCCAAATCACTAGTTTTACCAGAGAAAATACGTCAAAGATTATTCAGTGTTGATAGCACTCACTACCTCACATACAATATGACAAACTGATTGGAATTCAAACCCAAAACATTTTAACAGTTTTTAGTAGGTGCACCGATTGTAGTTTTCTGTCTGATCACCGATTTCTATAAAGTCTGACCTGCCAATTCCAATTTTTTTTTATAAGCGACGCTGTCAGGTGTTCTAAGGTCACAATGCACCTTCAATTTTCCAATCTTATTTTACTGAAAAACATACCCTTGAACAATATCCTAGAAACAATACAAACTTGTTTTAACTGACCACGAGGTAGTGCTCTGAAATATAAATGAAGTTCAGACAATTGTTGTTAAAAGTAAAAAATAAAAATCTGTAAAATCGGTTTCTCATGCAGGTATTAGCCGAATTCCGATTTCCCAAAATTAAGGAAATCGGGGCCCTAGTAAAAAAAAAAAAAAAAAGCTAGTTTTTAGCATGAATTTACGTAAACTAATTATTAACTATGAACTTATTTATTCCCTCATTTATGTAACTTACTCAGGTGATGAACTTCTTACTGTCTTTGAACAAAAGACAGCACATAAGATTAATTAAAGCGTAGATCTGATTAGCTTAGCTTCATGGTTGCTAACAGCTGCTCCAAATAAACAAGCTCCACTCGTTGTTTACTTTGATCCTTGTTAGTGAACAAAGCTCACATTTTTTAACCGTTATATCGGTTATCGGACGTCGCCTACCCCTCCCAATATCTGTATCTGCGATAGCCAAAATTTCCATATCGGTCGGGCTCTAGTTATAAGGACAAAAACATTCTTCAAACTTTTATTTACAATTGTTTGTTTAATTTATCACGATTGAAATTCTTTCATCACATTGAAACAACAGTCAGTTCCTTCCAGGTTCAGACGTTCTTAAAGTCGTCTTTTGTGAACCAATAGTCAGATTTTTACATCCTGAAGCAGCTCCTTTAAAGAGACCAGAGCTGCTGAAGGTTGGGACGAGGTTTGAGGTTTTAATCATTTATGAAACTTAAACTTCCTTTCTCATAATAATAAAATTGTAGAAAACAGATTTCACCACTCTTCTTTAAATGCTTGGAATGCTTTCCGTTTGTGTTTTTAATGTTTGTTAGTTCATCTTTTACCTCCAGGTGCCTGAACTCTTTCTGTGTGCTTCTCTATAACAGTCTGAACTGAGTAGTTCCTCTTCTTTGGAAATGCTTTTTTTTTTAAATTGATTTAGAAAAAATTACTCATCTACCCAAAAATAAAGAAAACAGCGTTTGCATCCCGTATGTCTTGCAGTGAACGTGAGGTGAATAACGTCTAAAAGTTTTATTTATTGTGTCACGTAGGAGTTTTAAACATAATACTGAAATAATAAAGGGTATTTAATGTAATTTTAATTGTATTTTTTTTTATTTTCAGGGGAAATTGATACACGGTTTTCTTTCTGTGCTGTTGCTACGCTGGCTTTACTGGTATGTTTGAGTCTCTATCACTTTTTACTCAGAAACGGAATAAAGTTCACGTTTAGAGCTACACGTGACTCAGTTGTCTACACATTCATGGTTGTCTTTTATTTAACAAAATAAAAACCAAACTGTGAAACAGCAGCTTCAACAACCAGCACTGTTACTGTTAGTTTTAGCTCGTCGTGATTTCGTGACTCTTCATCTTTCAGGGGAAGATGGACTCGATAAATGTGGACAAAGCTGTGGAGTTCGTCTTGTCCTGCATGAACTTTGACGGAGGTTTTGGCTGCAGACCTGATTCAGAGTCTCACGCTGGTCAGGTGACTGTTTTCAGTTAAATGCAGCTTTTTTCAAATGATTTCTAAACAAGAAGGTTCTGTCCTTTAGTTGAAACTAGAGCCTTTTGGGGTGACGTTAAGAAGTCTGAGTCCACTGAGAGGTCAACGGTAACAGGAGGAAATGTTTTTTGTCTTCACATCCATCAGATTTACTGCTGCGCCGGCTTCCTGTCGCTCACCGGCCAGCTGCACCGGCTGAACGCCGACCTGCTGGGCTGGTGGCTCTGTGAGAGGCAGCTGCCCTCCGGAGGCCTCAACGGACGACCCGAAAAGGTTTGTGACCCCCTCTACTAGAGTTGCATTCGTGTCCAAAGAATCCAACCCGGTCCCAGCCCGTATCCTTCATCTCCGAACCCGACCAGACAAATTAACAGTAATTACAGGTCTGGACCCCCCCCCCCCACCCCCGACATTTTTAATTAAGCTTTGATTGTAGTTATTAACGGTCGTTGAACGTGCGTGGCTGGGGGCAGAAGATCGGAGCTGAGGGGGTGTTTGTCCGTTCATGGCCGTCAAAGCGCATTGAATCTGTTTCTGCTGCATTCTGCATTATTCAGACACGGACCCTGCTCTGACATGTCTGCTTTCTGCGTTATTCAGACACGGACCCCGCTCTGACATGTCTGCTTTCTGCATTATTCAGACACGGACCCCGCTCTGACATGTCTGCATTCTGCATTATTCAGACACGGACCCCGCTCTGACATGTCTGCATTCTGCATTATTCAGACACAGACCCCGCTCTGACATGTCTGCTTTGGGCTCTCACCTGTTTGTGTCGTTGGCTGCGCGCGTCCACTGAGTGCAGCGGCTGAACGTCCATTTGGGCACTGGACCGCTGCCTGGCAGTACAGTCCCATCTGAACTGAACTTAAATTTTTTTTTTTTACCTCTTTTAAGGCCGATCAGCTCACGGTGAAATGGCCGAGTGCGGCTGGTGATGGTATGGCAAGCCATGTTGCCATGTAATTGGATCGTCAGCTGCCCACGTCAAAAGCCCGATCTGGCTCACCCATCCAGCACGTTCTAATGGCCCGGCCCAAATTCGGGCTGGGCTTCAGGCCCGGGTTATAAATGACAGCTCTACTCATCACCAGGTTATCTGGTTAGTTTACATGAACTTGAGCATTTTATGGTTGTGGTTAAATGTTTGTGAAGGTGTAAACATCAGCTGAAACATATTTCCTCATTAGTCTATAATTTCATTTAACAGCAGTCATTTTTGTTTTAATATTCTTGAAGTTTTTAGCTTTTTATTTTTTTCCATCAGTTTTAAACCCACAACCCTGACATTTATTTTTGGCTCCTCGAGTTAAGTAACAAGTCACATTGAAGCCCGTTTTTGTCTCAAAACTTCAACAAAACGCACATAAATATACAGCTGAACCTGTTCTAATGAAGAACTTCTCCCTCCGTGTACCATTCGTGTTGTAAGGAACGTTAAAGGTCGCCGTTCTTTGATTTCCCAAACCTGAAGTGGCTTCAGGATGCGGGCCAGTTCTCACTAAACTCCCGTGTGACTCAGCTTCCAGATGTGTGCTACTCGTGGTGGGTCCTGGCATCGCTGAAGATCATCGGCAGGATCCACTGGATTGACAAAGCCAAGCTGCGGAGGTTCATTCTGGCCTGTCAGGACGAGGAGACGGGAGGCTTCGCTGATAGACCAGGAGACATGGTGAGACACGTTCTCCTCTAAAAACCCGCAGTGACCTCTACAAACGCGCATCGCTACTCGTAAATGCATCGGCTGTTTCTTGCTTCACGCTGTTCAGATATTAAGATCACAGAGTCGCTCTGACCTTCGCTCTGCAGGTGGATCCGTTCCACACCCTGTTTGGAATCGCAGGTTTGTCTCTCCTCGGGGACGAGCAGATTAAACCAGTGAATCCGGTTCTGTGCATGCCGGAGGACGTTCTGCAGAGGATCGGCCTGCAGCCCGACCTCCTAAGTTAGCCTGACCCGTAAACGTCTGTCATCCTGGAAGATGGAAGCAGAAAGAGGACCACAACACGCCTCTGAGCTTAACGCCTTTCTGGAGGATGAATGGAGCCTCAGATTTTCTGTCTTAATCCGGTGAATCGTGTGTTTGGAGGAGTTTTCACCACAGCTGAATCATGAACTAACATTCCTTAGTTTAGGGAAATCTAGGATCAGCTGCAGCTCATCCTCAGGCCAACAACATGGAGGCCTCCGCATCATTCGTTTGTGATCGTGTGTTTGTTGTCAGACTTGACCTTTCGACCGCAGGCGATTAAACGTAATTTTATGTTTCGGCTTCGTTCGCACAGCTGCCGCTTCCTGTAACACAGACCATGTTTATGAAATGTAAGAGGGCGTGAAGGGTGCCGGAGTCATCCCGCCACGCTGTGATGACGAGCCTCCCAGGAGGTGAAACGACCACAAGGATGGGGTTGAAAGCAGCTTCAGTGGGATGACAGACACACACACACACACATATATATATATATACACATATATATAATGTATGTTTGGCACTATTTATTACAGTCGGAGTTCAATCTGCTGCCACTCTGAAGCTCAGAGAAATGTTTCCATTTGTTTTCTTCACCTGCTTCTGAGTAAATAACTATTAATTTCACATTTTGTTTATAAAACTTCAACGCTTTCTGTCAAATGTTTATTTGTTACATAAATTATCTGTTGTTACACGGAGTAAAGGAATAACACTGCACTAGTTTATGATCTTCAATTTCAAATACAATAAAATGACATTATAGTTGGTGTAAGAAAGCCTATATATTAAATAATATTTAAAACAGCTGTTCTAAATGTTCTTACAGCAGCTGAAAACGGGTCTTTTTATTAAAGATAAAATAGACGAGTACTTTTTCTGTAGTTTACTCCAAATACTACATTTTATGTTTGAATTCAATTTAAAGGGATGTTAAAAGAGCCTTATTATATTAAAGCTGTAAAGATTTTTTTTTTCACTTTTCTCTGTTTCTTAGCTTTTAAATATCAAAACTTTTAGATTTAATATAATAAAATCATGTTACCTTAAGCAAAAATTCACCTTTTCGGTTAGTCACTCCTTTATTAACTAAACTGAGGAGGGTGTTGGTGAAAAGTTTGAATTTTTTGAAGCATAGTTTCTTGTTTGTAGTATGTTAAAATAAAATCCTTGACGTTACACATGGAGAACAAACTCTAATCAGCTCATCTGGTCTGTTTTAGTTTCTAAACTTGGATACAGAGAAATTGTAAGGTTCAAAGTTTTATTTCTGCAATTTTCAGATCAAGAAATACTTCACCGTCCTGCTTTCTTCTACAAGTTCAGTCACCGGTTCTGGTTTGCCACTAGATGTCAGCCTGATCCTTTAAAGAGATTCAAACAGGACATTATTAATGTGTTGGAAAAACATTTTATTTACTTTATATTTAAACAGAGAGGACTAGGAAATACAGAGAATTGATTAAAAAAAGTTTATGGTGCGTGTCTGGACAGTCACATAAACCAAACCTTTCCTCTAAAAGTGTAACTGTGCACACAAACTATCTTCAACAAGCGGAAATTACCAGGAAATACAAGTAAACCTGAATGTTTTTTCGTCCAAGATATTCAAGTAGGTAGGAGTTACGCTGTGCACAAGAACAGAGGTAGTCTTTTTTATTTTGTCAGAGGTGATGCAGCGATGGATCCTGGTGAGTGATGGGAGAAATTTGAACCAATATCGGGTGCAATGGCGGAGCCAGGGGGTGGCTAATGGTGGCTGTGGACCCCCCTAGATTAACCTCAAGCCTCCACAATCATTTTGAAGAAACTACTTTTAAAAATAAAAACTAGAACGCATAGTTTCATCAGATGAAGTGGGTGACCAGTTTACAAATTATATTGTAGGACGTGTGAGAGAAGCGGAGCGCTACATCTGTAGCATCTTAGCTAGCGTGTCTATAATGCGCGCCGCTAGCTTAGCAAGGTCGGAAGGAACCTGTAAATCTGTTGGTTTGATAATTACATGCAGGTTGACAAAACTGACTAAAAAGTGTTTTTTTTTTTCTATTTCTATTACTTGGCACAGAGTAACTGCGTGTTGTGAAGGCTGCATGAGTCATTTTGTTATAAGTACTGTAGGTCTATCACAATCAGAAAACAGTAAAATGCCCCCCCCCCAAAAAAAACCCAAAACAAAACGAAACAAAAAAAAACCCCACTGTTTGTGGTGACCAGAATTGCACCTGTTCATTGGGTAAAATTAATATTTTTATTTTTAAACATGCAGTTCAGTGTCGCCATCGCTGAGCACAATGACGTGTTACAAATAAAAGAAAATAAAAGTGAAGTGCACCCTTAAGTCATTGTTTGTGATGAAATGTGTCACATTAATTTCATTATCTTAGCCATAGGAGTGAGTTTAAAAACAGGATGATGTCTGGACAAGTTGAACGAGGAATCTGTCCCTAAAATAGTTGAATCGTGTTTACATATGTAGGTAAACGTAGATGTTTAACAACCTGTTGAAATGCACCAGAATGCAGAAAATGGCATCTACTTCATTCACAGATTTCTGGGGGAGGACCCCCAGACTCCCACATTACAAATACTTCTGACACCAGTGATTATCAGCACTTTTATTCAAATGTAAATTTGCAATGCAATATTTTGCAATGGACGATTTCAAATGCAGAAAGCCGATGCATCAGAAATTAATTTATAATTATTTCAGTGATCGTTATGAATGGAAATTGTGTACAGTGTTTGTTTGCTTTGTTTATTTGAACATTACATTGTAGTAATTCAGTACAAAATGCTTGTATGTGTGCAAAGAGTGCAAACATACTCCTCTGACCAAATTAAATAACTTTATTATTGAACTTACGTGGCCACCGCATTATTCAAGCCAAGAGCCATTGTCAGCACAGGGGGCTAAGCACCCCTGAAGGTCAGATCCTAGAATCGCCCCTGTCATCCAGTGATTAGATTCTAAATTTTGTTAAAATCTGTCTTTTGTCGATGCTGCAGATTAATGAACACACTCACACATGGACAAAAACATTATTACCACCATCTTCTGTGGCGGGTGCTCTCAAAACTAGAGTTTTGAGCGAATAACCGAGTTACTCTGAACGTTTCAAGTACCATAAAATTCAAATCTAATCGTGACGAGATGTGTTTTCTCTCACCTTGAACTGGATTTAACACAATTTAACTGCATTATTCAAACCTAAACACATGTTTTGTCAACAGCTTCCTTAAAGGACACGTCTAGCCCTTAAGGACCAGGTTAAGTAATTTGTTTCTGTTATAATAATAAAATCTGACAGTTAACGACCTTTTGCTCTGATGCGCTGCTGTTTCTGCTTCATGCATTTTTCATGCTGAGATATTCTCAGAGCTGCATGGACCTGCAAAGCATGGACTGTTGGCCCTGTGAGCAGTGTGCATTTAGCTGATGGGGAGTAATCATTTCTGTACCCCCCCAGCTTATGGACAGAGACAAACATGCTGGTTGTTAGGCTACTGAGAAACCCCATCGGCGCTCATTAGTGAGGAAAGAGACGGATGAAGAGGACGAGGCGAGGTGGGAGAGGAAGAGAAGTAGAAGAAGAAAGCAGGGAGACAGATGGATGGATCACAGCTCAGTCATGTTTGTTTGCATTAAAGTCATCAGCAGCACATTTTCCTCCCTCTCTTTATCTTATCTCAACACAAAACACCGAGGCTTAGTCCAGGAGACGAGACTGCAGCCGAACTGTGGATCCACACCTCCAGTCATTTAATAAACGTTTCATTCAGCCTCAGCAGAGTGACGTGTGTGAAGACAATTCATGTTGTTTGTGGAAAACAAAGTTTTATCTCAAAGTTTTTACAGTACTTGTGCTTTTTATCATCTTACTGCTTTATCAACTAACTTTCCAGCACTAACACCAAGTACTTCACATTTAATTCATAATGGGGTGAATGCTGAGTCAGCATATTTCTTGTTTATAGTTTCTTCTGTTTACGGTTTCACAATTAAACTACTTCTACATACTTTATTGTAATTATTCATATATATGTGTGTGTGTGTGTGTTTGTGTATATATATGTATATATTTATATATATACATATATATATGATAATATTGTTTGAAATTTGACAATAATTAGTAATTATTGTCAAATTTAAGAAGAAATGTTGCTTAATTTGTTTTGAGTGTAGTACCTTTTTTTGACAACAGGGTGGTAGTATAAGACTGTTTGAACCGAAGGATGGATAGAGAGGGAGCGAGCAGTGTGTCTCTTTAAGAAAAATGGGAGGGAGGCCCCTTGATGTGACATGGGTTGTCCTTCCTTTTTTTTTTTTGATTCTCAAAAAGGCAGACTCTTGGTGTGGTTTGAGCTCTTTAGCATAGCACTTCACACAAAGCTTTTAATTAAAAAAATCAGTAAACAAGTTCTCAGCTTCTTTTTGCAGAGAAAAACAACTTTTTACACAAAGATACGAGTTTCAACTGTGAATTTTGGAGCTTCAACAAGACGGAGGTTTTTTTCCTGAGGTCGGCCTGTTAGCTTAGCTTGTAGATTAGCTTCTCAGCTTAGCTGCTTTTAACGATCCAAAAACGCGATTTTAGACTGTTAAAATGGATTTTGAAGAAAAGAGAAAGGGAGGAGTCAGTGAAGAAGTCCCAGTGGCTTTTAAACCCCAAAATACATTACGACAAAGACTGGTTCTTCCCAAAGATCCAGTCTCCCGGCACAAACATAGCCGAATATTGTGCATGCTGTTCAGTGTCAGGCGGATGATCAGTCTTACATCGGGGAAATTGAACAGCCACTGGCCAAAAGGATGGACCAGCACAGAAGATCAACATCATCAGGCCAGGATTCTGTGGTCTAGAATCATCTCCAGGCCAGCGGTCACTCAGTGTTAGGCTGATGGTCCTCCTAGTTTTGGATGTCAACAACAAACTGGTTGATCCACTATGATGAGAGGCAGTGGCGGCTCCAGAAATTTTTTTCAGCAGGTGCTAAGGGGAGGCTAAGCATTTTACTGTGGGTGCTATGAAGGTTATTTTTCTTCCCTAGAGTTATCAACACAAACACAAGCACACGTGCACGCACACACACACACACACACAGGTGCACTGAAAACTCTGA